TTTAAGTCACCGGGTCCGGGACACGAACCGCGGTCGACTACATGGGAGTCCAGCGACATAGCCATTATGCTAACTGCTGGTTCCCCCGGCGTGAGTTTTAAGCCACCGGTCCGGGACGCAAACCGCGGTCGACTACGTGGGAGTCCAGCAACATAGCCATTACGCTAACTGCTGGTCCCAGCAAAAATTATTTTTAAAAATAAGAGCATCACCAGAACATAGATGAAGATTTGCTCCTTCCAATCTTTTGTCCCCTCTTCCTTTCTCCCTCATCGCTTTCTTTTTTTCTCAGGTTTTTCCTTCTGTAACCTGGTCTGAGTTTATTTCTGCCACTTGCAACCAAAAGATCGCTGATTAATTCAAAAGCAACTTGGAGAAGTCGGGTAGAAGGAAAGGGGCCTTTGCTGGCCACGTTTGTCTAGCCCCAATGCAGTGCTAGTCACAGAGGTTGAGAGGCCGCTAAGCCCCGAGGAAGATGAGCTAGAAGAGGCCACCAGCCATCCTGATCTCTCAGTGTCTGTCGCTGGCATGAAACCTTTAGTCTAGCCTCCTCCCAAGCCTACCTTGGTGACCGAAGGATTTCCACAAGATGGGAAAACAGGGCAAGCTCCAGGTTGTCTGCAGTATTCATCCAGAGCTGGAAGACAGAACAAATGCACGCTAAACCCGAGTGTGCGAAGAAGGATGTGCAGGTGGCACGAGAGACGGTACCACACGTGTTCTCTTCTCACTTGGAACTGCCAGTGCCACTTACAGGCTTCGGACTCTGATCAGCTCTCCTCTCTCCTGAAATGCAGAGGAGTCTCCCCACAGGAAAACTCACGCCTCTTCTTCCCACCTCCTGCTTCCTGGTGCTTCACTGTAGGTCTGGATTCCAACCAAAGACACCCACTAACCTGTGTCTCCCCAGTCTGCCTGTCCCTGGGCCCATGGCCCCACAAGCCAAATGCATCTCAGCTGCACTGAGTTGTGCCTGTCCTCCCTGCCTCGACTTCCTGTCCTCCAGCCTCACACCAGACGTTACAGATCCCACCCTCCTCTCGTGACCTACTCTCTTGCCTCCAACTCCTTTAAGGATTTGTTGCATGAATAGTTTCTTCTTCCACTAGCATTTACACTGCCCTGTTCTCACGGCCTCTTTCTCCACAGACTACAACTAGACTTAGTCTCTCCCATCTAAAAACACAAAATCGGAAGTTCTGAGACTCCTATTTTCTAATACAGGAGGTCCCCAACTTATGATGCATTCACTTAAATTTTTTTTTACATTGGTGCAAAAGCAATAAGTATTCAGTAGAAACTGCGCTTCGAGTATTCGTTGTGCATTTCACTTTTAGTACAGGATTAAATGATATGAGGTTGGACATGGTGGTGTGCACCTATAATCCCAGCTACTCGGGTGGCCAAGGCAGGGGGACCACGACTTCAAAGCCAGCCTGCAACACAGCAAGACCCTTTCTCTAAAATTCATTGGTTACTTACTTAATTAATTATGTAATCGACAAGTTTAAAAAGAACATAAAACAATGGCAAAAAAATCAAAACATTTTAAAAATAAATAAATAGATGAAAAAAATGAGATATTCAACACTTTCTTATCAAGTAAGCTTTATGTTAATGCTTTTGCCCCATGTTTCAGGTAGGCTAAGCTAAACGATGATGCCTGGTACCTCAGGTGTATTAAATGAATTTTCAACGTACAATATTTTCGACTTATGATGGGCTTATCGGGATGTAACCCGATCGTAAATCCAGGAGCATCTGCTTCATATTTAGGGGTTTTGTAGCTATTTTCATGACTAGGATTAGCCTGTGCTTCTTCATTTCCTGAACTGTCCTTTCTTGGCTCTGGTGTCAAGTTTAACTCATAAAGTAAGTCGAGAGTGCTTCTCTCTGTCTCCTGGAAGGGTCGCTAGTCTGGGATGGACTGTGTCCTGACGGGGAATTTCTTACAACTCCGTGGGCCAGGAGTCTCTCTGTGGCCATCACCTGTTGGTACAGGTTGTAAACCAGTGAGCCCACTTACTCGACTGTTCTGAGATCTCTTGGACACTGTATGTATGTATGTATGTATTTTTAGTAAGTTTTGGAAACGTAAATTTTAGAAGAAATTGTTCAAGTGAGCTAAGTTTTCTAACTTACTGATACGAAGTTCCTGATCTTATATTTTTGTTACCTTTCTTTTTTTTAATGTGACTTACTCATTCGTAAGTTGCTGGGGCCATGCAGTTAACACAAGCTGAGTATGAAAGAACTGCCCCTCAGGCCTAGAGCAAGGACTCGGCTGAGGAGAACTGTTTGCAAGGTCAACAGTTTTACGAGTTCTGGACCTCACCTTCATTGTGTTACTGTACTGGCCTGCACTCAGTTTCTCTGCCATGGGCCTTATTGCCATTCCCTGGTACCCCATAAAGGCACCCCGAGCCTTACTATAACTTTTACAATAATCCTGAAAGAATGCGGATCCACTAAGGTGGCAGCTGCGTAGGGCAGGCGGCTGCGAACAGGAGTCACTCCCATTAGACTCACCCCACCCTCCTGGATGCCACATTCATTTCTCCTACTAGGGATTATATAGATAAGCATTAAAAAGTTTTAAGTTAAAGCTACTAATGGGCAAAACGATCTCAGTAGCCGGGAGGGGCTCAGGGACTCATCCACGAG